AAGTTTATATTAAGTTTAAAAAGTTAAACTTTTTCATCGTTGTTGCAATTTTCTAATACCGTTTATTTTCATAAGCAATCATAATCATAAACATTTTAACCTTTTTAAATAAGACATTTAACCATAATATTTTACCATTATATATATATATATATATATATGACTAAAATCACATATTTTGTACTTTTAGCCATTTTTAATGGAATCATCAACAAATTAATGAATCTTGATTGTATCTTCTTATGTTAATTTAATTTATCAAAAAAACATTGATTAAACATTAATAATATGATGTACACCGAAAGAATTAACACCGATAGTAGATTTTTTTATTCCAATACAATTGATTATTTTACTACGTAGTATAAAAAATAGAATACATATTGTTATAATGTTATGATCAACGTTTTTTAACCATTTCGTCGAAAAATATTAAATTTAAAAAGTTTAAAAAAAAGGAAGTAAATGTTCATTTTTTTTTTTTTAGACAACATGTATCATTTTTTAATTTATAATTTATAAAATACCTAAAAAATTATGTTTAAAATATAAAATGTATTTTTTATCACACTCCACAAGTGTAAGTGATTATTATTATTTTTTTTTCAATGATTTCAAAGATAATTTACCAACATTTTTTTTAACTAAGCAAAGTTTATTATATTATAATTAGAAATATAATACAGATATAGCTGATTTTAAAACTAGTTTACTGCATTTAAATACTATCTATGAAAAAAAAATTACAATTACGAACAATTATATATAATGTTCTTAATAAAAAAGTTATACTTTAAAGTATTCATTGCCCACTTAATGTCTCTAAAACGGGTTGTAGAACATTAAAGAAGTATCAAAGAGTAAAATCGAAATATAGACGCCTTGATACTAGAATAATTTATTTAATATAGGTCAATTAATATATTTTCCAGAAAAATCTTAAAAGAAGAAATTCGCGTTATTCGATTGGTTTATAGGTGACTTATAAACACTTGGTTGACTTCATTCAACCAATTCATTTTACACTATACAATATTTTAAGACTAAATATTTTTTTTTTTTGTACATTTATTATTATGCCATTAGTTTTATAACTGTAACTGTCTATTTATAAGTATATTAGGTACCTACAAAACTTGTAAAAGTCATTTAAGTTGGTGTCTAGTTATATATTTTAATTTTACTGTTTATATGTACTTTAGATTTTTTCGTATACACGTGTTTATTTGGATAAATATTAAGAGACATTGGTTACTATTTTTACTATTGAATTTTGGGGCTTAAGTAATGTATAGGATTGGATAGAGATCGCTTAGATCAGCTGGTATAGCTATTTCACCACAAAATCTAATCACTGGTATCATGGGTTATAAAATTAACAAGCCCTGCAGCGGTCATAGTAGTAATTATATTACTCAAGCCGTAGGTTAGGATATATTATAGGATATTTCTTAGATTTATGTATTAAATCAACTATATTATTTTATTAACCAAGAGTAGATATATTTCACTGCAAAGCAGGAGGAACTCATTTATCATATGGTAGTTTTTATTTTTATAAATATTGGATTAGGAACAAATAGAAACAATTTATTGATAGATAAATAAAAGCACTATATCGTTTGTTCTTAACTATACAATTCTAAATAATTATTAATGAATAAAAATATATGAAATAATTATACTAACCTTTGTAAGTATAACAATAACAAATTTCAAGTATAATTTATTGAGTAACATTAAAAATACGAGTAAGTATTTAAGTTAATGGTAACTTAAAACGGTGAAATTTAAAATATCTAGTGGTTATCGGTTTTCCACAAATCAAAATGTAACTCACAATTGTATCCCTTGTAACTATATGCCTAATCCAATTATTATGGATTTACCTGAATTTGATTAAGTAAGCGATATTTTTTAGATGGGTGTAGATATTTTTAAATATTACAGGTTAAGTCAACGTTTTTTTTTTTTTTTTTTTTTTAAGTATATGTATATTTAGTTATATTCGGTAACAAAGAAAATTTCGTAATATTGATGTGATTATAAGTATACAAACGTATAATGTATTATTATTTTTAAGATCAAAGGAAATATTTTATTGTTATTTTAAACTTTTTATGATGCATAGAATATCTTACATATTCTTGGCATGTCGGATAGTCGTGATTACCATTTTTATAATAACAAATAAATTACAAAACGTTCATTATAAGTTTCGAACCTGCCACATAATGCATAAATATTCTACAATTTTACTTTATTAATCTTTAGAAAATAACCAATATTTACCATTCGCATCATTTTTATGAACTTATCGTTCTTTTTTTAATTGATTTTACGTATTGAACTTGATATAACTATACAAAATTACTATTTTATTATATTTAAAACTCATAAATCACGTGTCAGAATCAAGTGCTTAACATTATGGTACTGAGATTTTTTTTATACTTGTTTATCGACATGTTTTTTAAAACGGAAAACATAAACCCCATCATATTTTAGTGGATATCGATTAAACCTTTAAGAAAATGTGAAATAACACGTCTGGTATAAACTTGAGACCATGGTGAACTTTCATTTAAATTAAAAATATGCATCAAGGCAGTTAAATTTTTTTTTTTTAATGATTAGTGTATTAAAATATTCAATACCAATCACATAAATTATTCATTCAGTTTATCTCAATTTTTGAGATTCGATTTTTAGATTGAGAACTAAAGAGAAGTAACAAATAAAAATAAATATGATCACTTTACAATAAATCATCAACAAATCGCCAACCAACATATTTCTATATAATATTGTATAACCATGAAATGTTAAAATAAATGAAATACATCACCAATTGGAAATTATATTTCTCTTATTCACTTTGTCAGAATATAACTGATATTATATTTTAGATTTTAGATATTGATATGTATGCGTTATTATTATAACAATTTGCCACCAGTAAGATAAGTCAAAATTATACTTTAAATTTCCATAAGAATCTTGCTAACGACTATAAATCGTATATCTAGCTGTATATAAAAAATATTATATGCTCCTTCAAAATTTTAGGTAAATTCGTAGAAAATATTAATTTTATTTATAAGCCGTTTTGTTTTAATTTTAAAATAAAGAAATAAAGTACAACAAATATATTCAATATAATGTTGAAGATTCTTATTGGTTTATTTAAATACTGTACAAATGATTTGGAAAAGTACTAAAGGGATTTTAATATTTATTATAGCCACTATATTTCTATAAAATAATTAAGAACTATACAAGAATGTAATTTGAAAGCTATAATAGTTTAATTTTTAAATAGTTTATAGAATTAATATTTTTCAATCTTCATAAATTTATCCAATCATTTTGATTTTATTTGTGATGTAAAAATTGTATGTATAGCACAATGTTTTTTTTTTTTTCATGAAACCGCCTATTTTGTTTTAGTAAACAAAATGCTTCATAATAGTTGTATACAACTTTATTATAACAATATAAAATTCAAATTTAACGCAGATAGATGGTATGTATAAGAACAATCAATTATTCCACTTTATTTGTGTGTTTCATAAATATTGTGAGAACTGCGAAAAAAAATAAACATTCATCATCAATTGTTCATTTTCTATCAAACGAGTAATACGCAATGACGAATTCCTGACCTTGTCCAACTTTAAATATACTATAAAATTCTTTGAATTGTATATTTTGAATTTACAACTTAAATAACTTACATCATCAAACGTACTGTTGTTGGAGATTTTGACATTTTTAAATTATCTTAAGATTTAACCTTACCTATAAATTATTAACACAACAAAGTGATGCTATAATTTTGTATATATTTTAATTCTAATTTGATGGTACATCAAATATTTACGACTACCAAATAGTACTATTATATATTATAATATTCCATGGAACTTTTTGGATAATTATATTTAAATACATAATATAATATATTATGTATATTATATGTATATTATACAACCTGAACTTGATATAGGTTTATCGAGGACAAACATTTTGTATAAAAGTATTACGCATTTTACCTTACTGGTACATAAATTTCGTTTTATTGCCTCACTGTTCACACACAACAGTCACAGGGTTTTCGCAAAAATCAGCCATTTTATCATGTATACCAAAAATAGGTTAGGTTTTTTATAGGTTTTTTTTTTATCGAAAACCATCAGTATTTCACAATACATGGAGATTTGATTAATTGGTATTAGTATTGAGTTTGGTCTGTGCAATATATTAAAAGTATACCATTGTTATGCATCATTAAAATACTATTAATAATTATTGATTACTTTGCTTAATAAATGTTCAACTTTATTTTGAAAAAAATCAAATATTAAATATAAGTACCGAATATTCAAATAATGGTTAATAATGGTAGTATAAATATTATTATAAAACTATTAAGTTTTATAAATTAAATATTACTAACAATACTAAGTAGTCTACCATATGTATTTACGACGTGAAATTTTTCTGCTAATACACAAATTCTTTCAAATTTTCGTTGTTTTGATGGATGTTTCATATTTCCACTTTTAATGAAGCGTGCGTTTTAATAAGCTCATCGCCCCAAAAATCTTCTCTAACTAATGAAATACACAAAATACTGGAAGTTAAGACATTAATATTTTCATTATAATAGCCGTTATTCTTCGTAATTCTATCTTATTGTCTCACGACTACTTAAACAAACAAGTTCCATATTTCAATACTAGTGAGAACCTATTTTATTATTATTTTAAACTAAGATTAAAATTGGTTTCTACTATTCAGATGTTTTCCTATTAAACAGTGATAAAAATTTCCTCGTTCTCAAAATTTTTTTCGTTTTTAAGAGGTATTTGTTAGGGGAGATTTCAATGTATAATGTTTTTAGCTGTAGAATATTTAATACATTTGAAAGTTTTTTTCTCGGTACAAAAATATTTGTTCAGATTATATAAAACTAATTATTCAACAATGGTACTAACCTTGAAACTTGGTAGATTTCTGTATCAACGCCAAAATACACGGTATAACATAAAATATAAGTAGTCCAAAATTCCAAAATGTATTCATAATAATTTAGTTATATTTGTTATTAATATATACAATTCACTATAATATTAAATTATTTTTTAAAAAAAAACTCTCAGTAAATAAGTTATTGAGCGACACACAATCACTGTTCAAATAAAACATTTTGATTTTACATTTTAAATTTATGAAATATAATCACAAAACATGACGAAAGTTCTATTTTATTAACTGAAGTTTTCTGTCTGTAGTATTTAAAAAGTACTTGGTGACTTTCAAATATTTTTGTTTTGCATAAAAACCCTGAAACAAATAGAAAAATTATTATATTATTATTAGCACCAAACCAAGCCATATTTAAAATGTATAAAACATACAATATTATTATTTTAATTAATAAATGTTATTCTATAAAAAGAAACACCAAATATTTTTTATTATAATTATATTACATTAAGTGTAATGTTGTTTTTTAATACAAAAACGTTATATCAACCAAATTACGGTTTATATTTTTTAATATGTTCTTTGAACTAGTTGTTTTTCTAAAATTTAATTTTAAAAAAAATCTCCCTTTATATATTTTTATATTGCATAATATTATTATTATTATACACAAGAATTGTGATTTATAATAATAATTTATTTGTTATTTTTATACACACATAAATATATATGATAGTTTAATTATAATAATATGCGTCAATAAAATTAAAAAAATACGTAATGCTTTAAAATATTCTTACTGTTAAATAATAGTGATAAAGATTACAATAAATATCTATATTTGAGTTAATAAGTTCATATTTAATGAATTATACAGCATACGCAGAGAATATTAACAATTTCAGGGATAGAAAGTTATTAAAAGTTTCTAAAATATGAAGAGGAAACTTATAAATATCTCAAACCTGTGAATTAAATGAACATTCATTTCGATTTTTTTTTTTTTTTTTGTAACTAATAGTAAAATGAAACAAATTCAAACTCGAAATTAATTTCGTTTAAGAACGTAATTGATTATACCACAAACAAATTGTAACAATTTCAATATTTTAATCTACCTGTTTATATTTGTTTTATTTTTCTCGAACTTTTAGAATGTCAGTAATATCAATCTAATCCGAGACGAAAATTAACTAAACGACAAAGTTTTAACGACTATACTCACAAGTATCAAACTATGAAAAGGCTAAATGGACCAAAACCGATGGTATTAAGTCCATATGAATAAGCAATAACGAAAGGTTTCGAGAAAGGATTGTAATTTTGATGGTATACCGCGTATTATCGTTAAAACATTGACGAGTGATCACGGGCACGCATCGCGTGCTAATGCAACGCAATGTCATGCCGCCCGAACGTCGTGCTCGCGCAATAACCGTCGGACCATAGGACCGTAAACACGATTTTTTTCCCTTCTCGTTTAGAACTATGTATTTTTTATTTTTCCAGGTAGAAAAATGTTTACAACGTCCTAACGCGTGCGGTGTACTGTTCCGGGCGGAGAATAATAATAAAAAAAAAAAAAAATTATAACAATATGCGAACGACTGGCACGGTAATACCGTTCGGGTAGTAAAAAAAATAAAAAATGCGTTTAAACAACACATCGCAATGTGTTCGTATAATTTGTAACATTATTACCGTTGCATCATAACGTGACGGTCGGCAGACGTGTAATCGGACGGTGTACGCACGGCGACGCGATCAGCGAACGGATTTAAACGGGTCCGGCGATTACGACGATGGTGGTGACGATAATAACAATATTCTCATTGTGTTTGTCGTGGCACGACCGGAGGAGCACATGGTCAACGGGGCACTGAATGGGCGGCGGCGGGACGCGAGCACGCCAAGAGATCGCGTTCGGCGCAAGCGTTAAGGGCACGACGGGCGCGCGCGGACGAGTGTCGCGGAGTGCGATAATATTACGTACGTGGTGGCCACCGGTGGTCCGATTCAAGGGGAGCTCGAGGGGCTTTGCCCTCCCCCCCTCCGGTCCATTGGCCGAATTTTCGTCTTATCAATTCGGTAGTAAATATATAAAAGTAGGTAATTCAGTGGGCAACTGAGCCACTGAGTGGATCGGAGTAAGGAGATCGCTTTCGATCTAAATGATGTACAAGCCCAATGGTTTTCAAAAACAACTTAAAAACTATAAAAAAAGTTTAAATCACACAACTGTTATTACCAAGAATTATAAAACAACTCACAAAAATGATCACTGTACTTTTGGACCGTGAGCAATAACATGGTCGTCTAAACCCTGAGGGCACGTGGGGCACGGACCCGACCAACGGAGGCTTGGATAAATATAATTAACATCTTTATGTTGTAACATATAGGCGCAACCTGTCTCGACTAAATGTTTTACTGTCGGGATTAGACAATAAGTTATAATTTAAAAATAACATTAAATAATATTCAACCAAAATCTAAATTCTTTAAATTCGACGCTTACTTCTTTAGCGATACATTTAATTAACAATATGTTATCGGTGTTCAGTGACAAGTTACAAGGTTGTTTATATTTCTACGATAAAATAATATCGTTGATAAGTTTTTGAACAAAAATGTATGTCAATTATATCGTTTCAAATTCCGAATGTCTGTTGTAATTTGAAAATTACTTGGTAATATGAAATAATAACCGTACTTTTGCTTTTAAAGAGCCTCTAAACTCTGGATGCCTAAGGACTTCTGCATAGCCAAAGATGCCTCTTACTATTGCCCAAATTAAATACATTAACATGTGCATTATTATTACCGCGTTTTATCAACCACATGTTTTTTCGTCATCCCGTTTGGACTAGAGCTCTTAAAACAAGTGTCACAGAATTCACGTGTACACGTGAAATACGTGTTTATCCAAGTATAAATCCATTTTTATAATGATGAAAATTAGTAATTTTATGTTATACACTTGAAGTTTTAATAAAATATTATTAGTACAGTATTAAGTTAAGGATATACGTTTTTATTTTGAATTTTACACGTGACACGTGACACGTGAATTCCGTGAATTCACGTGTATTAAGAGCTCTAGTTTGGACTGTATTTCATTTCCTTCAAAAATGTGCAACTATACTAATACAATAGTAAACAGTAGTATTCGGGGAGCGGTGGAAGGGAGAAATTTCGATCTGGATGACGAATGAAATAATAACTTATTTTCTTTAAACCTATGCGTGTCGAATGTATCATAAATCATTGAGTTTTAAAAGCCTGGAAAAAAAAAAACGACGGAATATTATAAACATCGATTTATATCGCTTAACAAAACTGTAGTTAGAAAAATAATATAATAACGCGTAAATATGTCAATTCATAAATATTATTGATTTTTCAATTGGTTTGATATCTCGATATCAAATATTTTGTTCCTTGTGGCTTATTTTATACTATGAATAATATTTATTCATTAAAAATTATTTATGTAATTTTTAATGTGTGTATTTTGTCTATTGATCTATAAATTTAAGTGAACATGGTTATTGGTTACTTAATACCTATTATACATAGTTTATTTATGATACAAATAAATACAAGTGAAAACAATAAGGATATAAAGAAAGAAATCATTTTTTTATTTAATTTTGTCTATCTTCCTTATATTTCAAATATTATTTTTTATATTGTATTTTAAAATAAATCGAATACCATAAACTTCTTACTTTCCCATTATAAAATACCTATTCGTATAGTAAAGTATTGTATGGCTTATTCAATGTCGGTTTAACGGTGCCATCACTGATTTTATTTTATTTTTCGATATAGGTATCCCTCTGACTTATTATTTTTTCAAATATGTCGAGTTAAGTATTTTATTTGTTTAATTTTATTTATTTTATTTTTTTTTTTTAATTCATTGAACCATTTATTGCTAGTGATGCTTTTTAAAGGTTTTTTCTTAAAGTCGACCTTCTTTCTGATTGTTAAATTTCAGTTTTTTTCATAACAATTTTGACCTTTTTGTCGGCTGTCTCATTTACTTTAAAATCAAAATGACGAGGTAACCATATGAGGGATTATGTTATTTTTATTTTAGTTTAAGGTTTTATTTAATTTATTCTATATTTTCATTGCAATGTCCCCAGGATTAAACTGGTTTTTAATGCTGTTTGGGATGCATATTAAGTCACCGCAGAATACAATATAGTTTTATTATTCTTAATTTGGATTTTTTCAATTGAAGTATTTTATAAATTACTTACCTATATGAAAATTACAATAATGTTGTTTTGTTTTTCACTTTTATTTATTTTTTGTATCCCTATTCTAACTTGTGTCTTGGAAATATCTATAAACATTTCACGACAACTTTTAAATATGATTTTTAATTGATTTTTATATATTCTGGTGATGTTAGTTATTTTATAAGTGAATCAACTATATATTTATTTTGTTACATTATTGTGTCATTTGCTCCGAAGTAAAAACTCCAAAGGTTCTTTAGATTTATACACCAAATCATAAAATCTACAATTATTTGTTCGCGTTACGCTAAATGATAGCATTAGTTTAAATGACTTTAGGTTTAGTTCAATTGTGTATTTAATAAAATACTCAAAAATATTTTTCATTTAAGAAAATAGTATATATAACTATATATAGTTTATCATTAATTTATACCAATAAAAAAAAAATGGATTCTCATTTGTATATGTTTGTTTATTAGGTGCTTCATAAATATTTATTTATAATATTGAAATATTTAAATTTAAAATAAGATATAATTCACTATAATTTATAAATAATAAATAGAACAAATTAAAAATATTTATTCTGAATCATTCAAATAGTCTTCGTGAGGGAAACAGTTAGAAATGACATATAATTTTAAATTTCTAAATTTAAAACTACGGCGATTCGATCTTATTATTGCTTTATAATGGCTAAATGTCATCCACACATCAATAGAATTGATATTTAAAAAACTAACTTATATTAACGCATATTTCATACACGTTAATTCTTTTGAATTGTATTATGTGATTAAATTACTTTCATTAGTTTAAAAATAAATTTAACATATACATTTTATTTCTCAATAGTATTTATAAACACAATAAATAAAAAATAAATATACTCTTATAAATAAATAATATATTTAGGCTTTTTTTTTTTTTTGTTTCATTTTGAATTGAAGATAGTAAATCAAAAATACAAAGGTGTTATTTAACAAAAATATTTCTGAAAATCGAATAGATAGGTAATGTGTTTTTCCATTAGCTGTAGGTATAATATTTGATAGGCTTTACACAATATAATTCTTACATTTTTTGATATTATTAAAAAAAAAAACATTGATTTTAATAAATTCTATTGGATTCAAAATAATTAATAAATAATTCTATATTTGGTAGTTATATACGAATTTTATTTTCATTTGCCCATAGAAAATGTTTGATGATTCAGTAAAAATAGTAAATACATATTTTATAAAGAAATATTGATATATGATAGTAAATAATGATTAAATAGATTGTGGTAAAATAAAAATTCATCAAGAATGTTATATTTGAGTAAAAAAAAAAAAAATTATACCCACATTTTTTTTAAACTTTTAAAAAAGAAAAATGTATCCTGATTAAAAATAAACTCAAAGATTTTAAAAAATACTTAAAATTCTATTCAACACATAATTTAATATTCGTTGTGCTAATATTTTGTTTTAGGGTTAGGAGGGGTAAGTGCGTTGATAAAAAAAAAGTTCAAATTATTTTATTTTTTCAAGCTTAACTTCTAGATATATGATTTTGCTATAAGTAACATATGTTTCTTATGTTATAAGCTATCCATATTTTTTTTATCAGAAATGCATTTGATTTAATATTACATTTTTAAAATAATTTATTTTTAAAAATATTTCAAATGACGCATTTTCCTCACAACTTGGAGTAGGTGCGAATATATTTCTATAAGTAAATGTATAGGAAAGTCTATGGGTTTTGGGCGTCAAAATATAAAAGATTCAACAATAAATATTTACATGGAAAAAAATGTAACTTTAAAAAACAAATACAAATATATTAAACTAAACAAAAATTAAATATTTTTTCAAACAAAACTGCAAGATAATCAGACTTTTGATTACTAAAATTATTATTATTTACTAAACAGTGTACCTTATAAAACAAGTTTATCACCCATATATTTTTTATTATACTAAAAAATGTATGAGACTTTTGATAGGGTATGTACAAGAATTAGTATATAATTATGCAAAAAAGTTTTTCTTAATAAAACTCATAAAGCTATTTAATAAAATAATTTAATTTTCATGAATATAAAAATTATAAATAAAACATAGTACTATATCTTAGGCTATACCCATATGTTTTTGAATGTAATGTAACTGACGCACTTGCTCTGATATTAAGTAACAGACTTTCCCCGAATAAGTTTTTGTACGGGTTAAGTGCGTCATCGAATATTTAAGTAATTTAATCAAGTGATTTAATCAAAACCATAACAGAAACATATAGTAAATTTATTTTCAATTAATACTGACTTGAATTTATCCGTTTTATCGTTAAATTTAACTATCAATAAATATTTTAGTTTAAAATTTCATATTACAAAAGTTGATATTAAAAACGAAATTTCATTAATCAAACCTACATTTTCAAGTATTTATACTACAGTGTTGCCATATATAAACACATGTTCAGAGTAATATTTCATTCGATGTTTAATTAATGTCTGCTACAATATATTTATCTGTTATTAAATAAACTAAAATAACGCAGTTACCCCAATGACCCACTAACTATGTAAATATATATAAATATATTTATTTTTTTTAAGAATCAGGCAATATACCTAATGCTCGTTGATTTTGT